ATTTATCAGAAAAACTCATTATTTTTTTGCATTTTTATCGTAATTGAACACTAAAATAGAAATCATAATATCATTTCTAAGTAATTTTTGGTATTTAAAAAGATTCTACAATTGAAATATCCAGAACTGAAATAATTTTAATNATTGAAATATCCAGAACTGAATTAATTTTAATGATTTACTTTAACTAAAAAATAAAAGATTATTATTTTGAATCCCTCTTGTGGGCAGGTAAAGGGTTAGATTTATAAAAAAAAACCAAATGATAGAAAAGACATGCATCTAAATAAAAAAAAATATACTTATTTGGTCATTTTTTATAAAGTTATAACAGTTAACAAAGTTATAAGTTTTATACACTGGACTACAAGGAACTTCCATCAGAAACAAAAATATACTATTCTAAATCAACTTTTCGCGATGTTTTAAAATGTGCAATTAGACTTTTTCTATAACTTCTAAGTTTTAATATTATTAAAAAATAGTTTTTACATATAAAAAAAAATAATTAAGAACAAAAAAAATTGTTTTAAATTAATACTGATTTGATATAATATTTAATATTAATTTGATTATTAATAAGTTAAAAATAAGGAAAATGACATATTTAACCAATTTTGTTAATCGTTTAAAGTTGATTGTTGTAAATGTTTATAAAAAAAAAAAAAAATTTATTTTACCATAACTTTTAGCTCAATTGGTAAGTTTGACATTGACATAATTAAATAGAAAATTTTATGACAATTAAAAAAATTGTATCGTTAAGATCAATATGCAGTCAGAAAGTTTTATAATTACTATTTATTGTAAATTTATCAGAAAAGCTCAATATTTTTTTGCATTTTTATGGTAATAGATAACTTAAATAGAAGTAATAGTAATAATTTCCTAGGAACTTTTGTTGTTTGTTGAAAAGATTCTATAATTGAAATATTGAGAACTTAATTAATTTTAATGATTTACTTTAACTTTAAATCAAAACAAAATTGTTAAAAAGATCTGCTCAATAGCGTACTATAAAATTTGATTATAATTGTAAAAATACATTATTGATTCAGGAGAAACTAGCAATCATTTTTTTTAGAAATGATTTATATAGCAACATGTTACCAAAAAATGTTGAATATTATAGTCTAGTAGTAGCACACACAAATAGAGTAAAAAAATTATTAAATTACAAAGTAAAATGATTTAATTTTGTAGTTGAAACCTATCATATCAAACTTCATTCGTCAATAAATACTTTGAAAACATTACAAATTAATGATTTTAATTGTCTTTATGGAGATCATGGAATAACTAACTGTTTAATTGATAAATTACATTTTTTTCAATTTTTGAGGGTAATATCTTCAACTAGATACGAATTGTAGTCATTTGACGTATCGTTGAAAAAAG